GAGAAAGAAGTTTGTTTGTCAGGGGTCAAAAAGAAAAAACTCACAGAAGATACACAGAAAAAATATTTGTCATTTTCTTCAGAGAGAATCGCAGATATGATCAGGATTATTTTCTCTTTTTTATGAAGTTGGTTTTGGCCTCATGGCTGTAACTCCACACCTCCAGGGTCGTGAACGTGGATCAGAAAAACAGTCGAACTGAGAACCAGAAGATAAACAACAAAGAACTGAACTGAACCTGGGTTCAAGTCCAAGTCCATAAAGTCCAACTCCATAAATTATTGAGAATATAAATATAGAATAAAAATTAATATACATACATATGTTTTATATATATTTTTATATATAATTACATATATATTTTATATATATTTATATATATATTTGTATATATTTATATGTATATATGTGTGTATATATGTATGCAGTATATACATATATATTTATATATGTGTATATATTTATACAATATATTTACATATCTGTGTATCTATATATCAATTGATACAATACAATTTTATATGTTAATGTACATTTCCATATAAATACATATATTTCTAATAACAACATTCAGTTGAAAGTCATGTTGTTAAATGGTGATTTGAACCGAGCACCTTTTTTTTTGCTGTGAAGGTAGAACTATTTAACAACCTTTACTGTAGTTACAACAACTTTTCTCACATATTTTCACATCTATTTTTACTTTATCTAAAAACTAAAACCAAAAAAAAAAAAAAAAACAAAAAGAAGAAGTTGGGGTTTTGAGGACCTGCGGTGGTTCTGGGCCCCTGGTCCTGTCAGTGTCAGTCCTGTCAGTGTCAGTCGTGTCAGTGTCAGTCCTGTCAGTGTCAGTTCTGTCAGTGTCAGTCCTGTCGGTGTCAGTCCTGTCAGTGTCAGTCGTGTCAGTGTCAGTCCTGTCAGTGTCAGTCGTGTCAGTGTCAGTCCTGTCAGTGTCAGTTCTGTCAGTGTCAGTCCTGTCAGTGTCAGTTCTGTCAGTGTCAGTCCTGTCAGTGTCAGTCCTGTCAGTGTCAGTCCTGTCGAGGCCTGGAGGACACGGCTCGGAGCACAATGATACGCCTGCAGGCTGTGGGAGGAAGTGCGTGCAGGAACCAATGGTCCAGAAAAAGGAATGAAGGAGGGGGGGCGGGGGGGGGGAGTGTGATGGCTGTCAGGGGACAGGATGTGGGTGACACACAAACACACACAAACACACACACACACACGTGTCTGTAATGCATCATAAAGACAGAACGTTAACTGACACGAGGCTCTCACACACACACACACACACACGTGATGGTGTTTGTGTTTGTGTGTGAACAAACACAGGCGCAGGTGAAGGTCCGGCTGGGGAACGGGGGTGGACAGGGGGGAACAGGGGGGAACAGGTGTGAATCAGGACGTGACGTGAACGGTCGAAAGTTGAAAAGTTCTCAGACGAGGTGTTTACATTTTTTCCACAGGTGTCGGACGTTAAGTGGTCGAACCGGTTCAGACTGATACTCTTCAGCGATTGGTTGAAAATCAATGTTAATTAATTTGTGAAGATTATTCTGATAAAAAGACTTTTTGACGTATGGTCAGAATGACGTGCAGGATGTATCCCATAATTCCACCTGTTGGTGAACAGTCAGACAGTCGGCCTGTTGTTGGTCGTCCGACTGTGTTTATGACTGTGAGGAGTTTATTTGATCATTATATATATATATATATATATATATATATATATATATATATATATATATATATATATATATATATAGCAGACAGATCTGAGTTGTGGATGAGAGAGAAAGGTTCAATAAAAGCAGTGATTGATGATGCAGACGACCTTGTTCAAGGTCATCTCTGGCAGACGCATCATGACATCATCAAATCCAAACCTTTGATTTTCTCAACTTGAAATAAAAAGATCAACGCGGCGTCACGTAAGTTCTGCTCCGTTCGCCGTCGGCCTGACAACATCAAAGCGGTGGTTTGATGTGTTTCGGCGCGACCTCGGATCGTCTCTGACTCTCTGATCCTCGTGTTGAACACCGTCTGAGGTGCAGAAGGTAAATGACGGAGAAACGTCGTCGCGTTCACAGGTCTGTGTCTGTGGAGACCGCGGCGTCTGTAGTCGTGACATCATGACGCAACGGCTTGAATTAAAGGTCCATTTATTTTAGTTCATTGAGGCCCGGGGCCAAAAAACTGTCACTTCAAAATAAAATGTCACTTCAAAATAAAATGTCACTTCAAAATAAAAATTCACTTCAAAATAAAAATGTCACTTCAAAACAACAAGAAAAAAAC